GCGACCCCCGCCATCCCCCTCCCCCCCGCCTCCTTGCGCGGTATTTTCGCTGCGGCGAAGCGACGCGCAGCGCATTTTTGCCCGCTGAACGCAGCAGCAGCAGCAGCTCCCGTAATGGCTTTCAAATATATGCAAATGGCTACGTGCGGTTGGCGGTTTTGGCAAAAAGCTTGATTAGGATATAAACGACCCAAGGAAAAAAAAAATGCCTGCGCCCTAAATTTGTCTTTAGATTACAATTCCAGTTGATTTTATTTTATTGTCAACATTGTTAATGATAAAAATAGAGTCGTTTTACAGTTATTTTTACTTTCTGGAAGGAGGCAATTAGACTTCTAATCAGGAATACACAAAAATCTCCCATGATTAACTGCAGTACTTTGTTCAAATTGCTGCTATAAAATTCAGAACAATTTGCCTGTAATGATTATGGACTGGGTTTATTTTGGGAGGTGGAATAAAAGTGGATATAGCATAAATTATCCTCTAATTATACACCAGTGTCGCCTCAATTATCCTCTTATCAAAATGGTTGTCTAACTGCCGCATTTAGTTTCAATTCTCTCCTTTTTTCTATAAAAAGAACTTCATACCTTGTTATTATTAATCCATTTATTATTTGCAAGGGGATTTATATCCGAACATCCAGGTGGTATTACCACTTCTCTTTCAAAGATGGACTAGGGAAAGACATTAAGTTTGATCCAGCACGGCGGAGGATCTCTCTCTCTCTCCTCTCTCCTCTCTCTCCCCCCTCTCCCTCACCCCCTCTCTCTCTCTTTTTCCCCCCTTTCCCTCGCTTAAATCTCCTCGCGTCCAGCTAAGCATGAACTCCAGAGACAGACCCCACCGGAGAGGACTGAGGTAGGAAGGACCCTGCGGAACTCGCTAAGCCTAAAGAAATCCGAAAGTTGCTCTAGATGGGGAAAGGGGCTGGAGGCTTCGGGCTTTGAAAACCAACACCGGCACCAGCAGTCGCTGCTTCCAAAACCTGGTGCAGCCCAGAGACGTCCCCAGACCGATCCCAGGTCTTGACACTGCCTCTCACTGCGACATTCCCTGAGGATTGGTTTTCAGATTCTGCAGATGTTTATATATGTTGGGGTTTTTAATTTTTTTTTTTTTTCGCGTCGCTTGTGGAAATACTTAGAGGGCTTTAATTTTTCTTTCTGGGATTTTTTTTTCTCTTTTTAATTTTTTCCTTTACCTTGGAGTTGTGCTTCCCCACAGCCCGATCATTAGCTCTGGGAAGCCGAAGGATGCGAGCCCCCTCTTCGCATACCGTTGGGGAGGGGGGGAAGCGGGGGAAGGAGGATGCCAAGCGATGCTCTATCGGTGCAAGGGCATAACCCGTAGTCTCTCTGCGCTTGTAGTTCATATGGCTTGTTTCAGGGGGGCATGGGGGAGGGATGTCTTTTTTTCCTGTGTGGCTGGGATGTTCTGAGCCCCCTTAGCCACCCTCTCATCGTTGTTTCACTTCTTGAGCCCTTGGAGTCGGTTCAGTAACTCTGAATGCAGTTGTAAGTGTCTTGCCTTGTTCTCCGGCTTTTAACAAGGGTTCCACTTTAACACGCGAAAGGGTAACCCGATCCAGGCGTTTACAAATCTACAATGAATAAAAATATAGAGAAAAGGGGAAGAGAAAGGAAAGAATTCCTACTGAGTCTCTTTATTCATAGGTGTAGGTAATGTGCTCAACAGGAACAGGTACATTTGGCAGTTTTATTGCTTTATACCCTCCAGCTTGCTGTTAACATCACGAAGGCGTTTTTTTTCGCAGGTGCACATACTAGCATTTTCTCCAGCAGCAAGAGCATGCATAACAAAAGATGTCAGAAAATAGGCTGGGGAGTGTTTGCAACACGTTGTTTTCTTGTTTCGAAATAATTCCTGCCTCATAATGGATGCTAACCTCGGAATGGGGGAAAGTTGGGCAGAAGAGAAGATCGCTTTGAAATAATACCTATATACCGCCTTGGCGGAGGGAATAAGGCATCTGAGTCAGACAAAAAGGAGAAGAAGAAAAGACAGGGAGAATCTGCAGGAACTGCTTCCTGCGATAGACAGCAAGCGGAGTTGCATATGCCCCTCTCGTTCAGCCTAGCTGACGGAGGAGATGCGGTGGGGCGAGCGGGACAAGCAGCGGCTCCGGATGTGGGCCGGGGGCAGCGGCGGCGCCGCGGGCATGCGGAGCCCCCGCCGAGCCGTCAGTGGGCGCCGGCCGGAGGGAAGAGCTGCTCTTCCCCCGCCGTGCTCAGACATCCTGGTCTGTCGTCAAGACAGTTGACTCCGTCCAACCTCACACCGATAATTTTCCTCAATTTATTTAGGCGCACCGGGGGTCGCGGGGAGCGTGGGGGATGGAGTGGGGAGCAATAGGGACCCGAGCCGTGCCCTGGTAGAAGCGGCAGCTGCAGGGATGTTTCTTTTCCGAGGTTCAGGCAGGTCCCCCGCCCGCGCTCTGGAGTGGGATGCCAGGACACCCGGGAGGTCCCTGCCCGCTGGGGACACTGCTCTGCCGGGCACGGGTCCTCCCTGGCTCCCATTTGCGCGCAGCCGAGCTCCGTCATCGGCCTCTTTCTGGAGAAATTAGACCTGAATCAATAGCTTTGGACGCATCAGAACAGTGGAGTGTCCATTTTCCAGGGTGTGTGACTGGTGAAAAAGGGGTGGTGACGGGCACCCCACACCTCCTAGTCCCCTTGCCCTGAAGTGCCTCCGAAAGTGAGCGGGCAGAAGTCACGAGTGAGGGGAGGGAGCCCACGAGGGGAGCTGCCTTGCCTCAGCTGAGCTTCCCGGGAGCCGCGCGGGGCCGGACGGGCCAGAAGCCTGGGTGGATGGGCCAGTTAGGGGGAGCCTGGGGACTGTCCTGAGGCGGGGACCCCTGCACGGCCTTCTGTGAGCACACGTCCGTCCCTGGGAAAAGGCAGCAGGAATTAACCGCATGCGACTCCCCCTTCCTGGCTTCCCTGCTCTTTTCGCGGCCAAGCACGAGCTCCCGGAGGTCGGGGTTGCAGCCCTGGTCGGGGGCCATGGGGATATGCCCCGGGCACTGTTCTGCTCTCTATTCCCTCCGGACCGCGGGTACCCCCGGGCCCTGCCAGCGCAGCCCTGGCCCTTCTTCTCTCCTCACCCCGCGGTGTAATATTCCCAGAGAATGCTCTCCGCAAATCACCCTCGCTCGTCTGGAGAGCAAGGAGGCCTCTGCATCCCGAGCGGGATTAGGGCCAGCATCTCTCCACGCCTGGCCTGGCTGAGAGCCGCGGGGGCAACGCTACGCTGCCTTTCCCTCTCCCCCGCCGTCCTCCCCTGCTCCGCTGACGGGCAGAGAGCGTGGCACCACGCACCGGGCTCCCTGTGCCCCAGGACTGGGTGACTTCGTGCGACCGGTGTCACCTTAAACCGCGTCGCTTTAATGATGTTTGTGGGTAACACTTTCAAAGGGTCAAAGCGTGTTTGCGTGGTTTAAGGTCACATTTGAGAGTCGAAAGATGTCACACAACAGACACAACAGTTAGAAGGAGCTGACAAACAACAGGAAACGCGGTTCTATTTTTAGGGTGTAATAGGAAGTTAATGTAAGCGGTCAGAAGCTTCCTATATGCCTCCGAGCACCTTCTGTTCCATTCATTCATTCATCCATTCATTCATTCATGCGTTCAACAACAACAACAGGGGAAAACAAACATTCCCGTTCTGTTTCTCATCCCATCCTTGCCGGGAAGTCCTGTTGGGGTGTTTGCAAGGGTGGGCTCTGCAAGCGGAGTCCCTCTTTCGGGTGGTTTCTCTTGTTTTTTGGTACTTGGGGAGGGGTGCGATAGCTGACGGCGTTCCCCAGGCGAGGTTCCTCCAGAAGAAGTGTGCAGGGGCTCAGGGCTGCGCTCTGGGATTATGTATCCTCTCTTACCAATTCACACCAGAGTCCGGGAGAGTGCTTTCTGTCTCACACCGGTCGGAGTAGCTGGGAAGGTCCCAGATAAACTTATTTCAGGAATTACGTTGGTTCCTGTGGTTTTGCGTGAGAAGCCCATATACCCGCGTGAAGTAGATCTTGCAATAGGATTGTATTTTTTTTTTTTTTTTAAGTGGCAGAGAAATGCTGGGTGGGGCGGGGGGGACGGGAGGGAGGGGAAAAGGCAAATATTAGATTGGTGAGGGATCTCCTGTTTTTTGGCAACAGTACGGAATCCACAAAGCATTCGAAAGGTGCTCGGGGGAGAGTGGAGGTCTCCGGCAGAGTAGTATGTGGAAAATCTCGAGGGAAGCGGAAAGCCAGAAAATATTCCCGCTGGCAGCGATCCGCTCCAGATGCGTTTTTGCGGAGAGGCTCCCTCCGCGGATGCACGGGACTTTCCCCGCTGGAGCGCGGCTGTGGCGGCCGCCAAACGCGCGCCCCCGCCCCGCTCTGCGCGTGTCCGCGGCCGCACGACGCTGATGTGCGGAACAGCTGCCCGGTACGGCCCGGCAGCCGCCGTCC